ATGTTTGATATTTCTTCTTCGTTTTCTTTCTCACCCGTTAACGTCAAAGAGTGTACTCGTCTAAGAAGACTTGAAACAATTCATACTTTTGCACTGATCGGGTGTGATGATCTGAAGTCTAAGTATTTGTTGGAATTGGTTTTCTCCCTGAATATAGATATAACAAAATGTCCGTTTTTCCTTCTCTTAACAATGCAGTCTCGAAGTGGTAGTTCACAGACATCGGATTCTTCCTCCGAAGTAAACTGGATTCTGGAAGATAGATTGTTCAGTTTCCCGAAGAATGAAATGTCTAGATCGTCTACATATCTTAACCATATTTTAGGAGTGAGTATGCTTGAAAAGATGTTATCTTCGAATCTATTCATGAAAAAGTCACCGACTATTGGGGAAACTGGTGAACCGATGGCAACACCATATGTCTGCCTGTTTAAATTTCCTTTAAATGTAAAACGATTACTTTCCAGACAGAATTTTAAGCTCTTAATTATTTCACTGGTGTCCAGTGGACATCTTTTTGATAGTGTTGTATCTGATTCTAGTAAACTGGAAATGATATCAAGACTTTCGGTAATAGGGATACTTGTATATAATGAGTTAATATCACAGCTTACCACAATGTCGTCTTTATCAATTACTCGAAGTTCTATTTGGGATTTGAAATCATGTGAATTTCTTACAATATTTCGAGTGCCCTTTTGCAGTGGTTGTAGTATCGAAAACCAGTATTTGGAGAGGCTGTATGTCGGTGAGTTGATAAAATCTATTACTGGTCTTAAATGGAACTGTGGGTTTATGTATATTTGGTTGACCGTAGAATCTTGAGGGTACATAAGATTTTGGTTTTAGTTTAAACCAGAGAGGAGTTCCAATTTTGGGTAACACATCTTGAAGGAGTCTGTTTGTATTTAATTTCATTTTGTTGAATTCGGCGGATTTCTTCTTCTCCTCAATGAGTAAGTATGGTCCTTCAGATAGGCGTTCAATCGCCTTCTTTTCATGTAGTCATAGCTCAACTGCTTCTTAAGATTTGGCGAGTTTTTGCCTGTTTTCTCTAAAATTAAGTGAAAGTGAATCCATTTTACTCATGATTGAGCCATAATTAGCTGTCTGGAATCTAGCCTGCCCTTCGTTTTTAATCAAGGAAATTTCGGTCTAAGACTTCAAGAGTCTGAGAAATAATGTCATTACACGGAGTGAATTATCTAAGAGAATTTAACAGTGGAAATTAACGGGGCTTCCCAGACATTCGGGTTACTGAACTTCGTAAAGAATTCTTAAACTGAAACTGTTTGAAAACATACCACGTACTCAACAGACACATAAAATAGAGGATATTTAAGAACAGCTTCTAGAAAAGTAGAAACTCACTGAAATATGATGAATATTAGAGAAGTAAATAAACAGTCCCTTCTGGAGTTAATCCAGCTGATTATAAACTCAAAGATCTGTACATTCAGCCTCTCTAACACAACATATCAGTTCATCAAGGAGTTGTACACATCTATATTGACAGTTGTCACAGAGGCAAATGAATATTTATTGAGATTCTTCAGAATAGGCGAAGTCATGACACAAACTGTAATACAGGCTAAAACGTATAGTACTCAAGTGTCAAAAGCCAAAAGTAGTTTATAGAATAAAATGCATTAATATTCAGGTATTTGTTTGTAGGGATTTGATTGATTGGTTACAGGATTTCATCATGAGCTGACATCAGTTACAGAACCATTGGAAAACCTGGGAGTACTAGAAAGCTGTTTCGTCCTAGTTAGGGACTCTTGGCAGTACACACCCACTGACAGGGTTCGAACCCAGGACTTTCTGGTTACAAGGCGAGCTCGTAGACCATTAAGCCACTGAGACCCGATGCAATGGCCCGTGAATTCCAACTTCTGCCAATTCACGATATAGCGCGACCACTAGCCAATTTCTTCGGCGAGCATTTGTCCTCACATCCGATCTGCTTCACCCTAGTGGTCACGACTTCCCATTAGAACTCCAAGTAACTACTTTCCTGAATAGGGTATGAATATCATTGTAAAACATTGAAAAATATCTCGTCCGCATAGTGTATAATATATATATATATATATATGTAACAACAGAAGACAAGGGCCAGGCAACAGATCGTTTATTGAGGAAAATCAACACATATTTATAGATTTTAATGTACATTATTGTTAGTAGAAAATACAGTCTTTTGATTGTTTGTTTCTCACAGAAAGTTAACCTTGCATTTCTTTGTGGCTGTTTCAGATCATCCATATGCTAACTGTATCCGCCTACGCAAAGCCTTTGTTCTCATTTTCTCACCACCAATATTGGGGAGATAAACATTGACGTCAATTACTGTCTACCAACTTTGGCTAGCAGCCAGCTCTCACCATATATATATATATATATATATTAAAAGCAATCGAATACAGTATTACGTAAGTTTATGGACCTCCTTGCGTGCAGACAACATGTTTACTTCACGATCATAGGACAAATAGTTTCAAGCTAAGCGTCTTACACAAAATAAGTAAAACCGAATGCTTAAAAAGTGAGAGAGTGGTATAAAAGCAGACATTAAATGCGATTTGAAACTTGACAAAATACAAGTCTGTCTTTTTCAGATCGTAAACACATTAGATAATGCAAAAAATGCACAAGCCAACACTCTTCATATCAGAATCAACAAACGCATTCCACAATAAAAAATAATCGTTCAAATAAACAGAAGAAACTCATAGTAAACTTTCAATGAAGCAACAATTGGAGAAATTTTCAGTTTATCACTATCCTAAAGATGAAAAAGCCATAAACAGTCAATACTTAACCATGAAAAAGGTTAGTAGGAGCTAATCAACTAGAGTAAGATCAATGAATACATTGAGAGCGATCATAGTGTTTTCACGCTTCACAATTTTGCGTGTCATCCTTGCGCAGGGGCCATGCTAATCTTCTCTGTATCGTTCCAATTTTAGTATATGTATCGCCGAAGCGAGGTTACTTCATTCATCACTTATCTAGGGAGCATTGTCTCAACTACAGGCAGGTGGAACGGACGAGGATGTCAAATGGAGAATCGGGAAGGCGAGAAACACATTCATCAACCTGAAACCAATCTAGAAATCTTCGTCACTCAGCATCAACAGTAAAATTCGGATTTTCAATACAAACTTCAAGTCAGTCAGTCAGTTCTTCTATACGGATCAGAAACTTGGCCAGTGTGTCACAAAGAATATTTCCAACAGCCTGTTGCAGACCTTTATCAACAGCTGTCTTCGTTCCATACTGAAGATCAGATGGCCGGAAAGAATCACCAACAAGAAACTATGGGAACGAACAAAACAAGAACCAATCGCCCAGCAAATATGCAGGAGAAAGTGGAGATGGATTGGACACTCACTGGCTGAGGAGGCCGCTGGGTGACATCGCGCGTCAGGCCAACGCTCGAGTGGAACCCGAAAGGGAAGCGGCGAGTGGGACGTCCAAGGGTGACTTGGAGGAGGTCGTATGAAGAGGTGTTGAAACAGTATGGATTAACATGGACGCAGGAGAAAATTACAGCAGAAGACAGAAGCAAGTGGAGACGTGTAGTTGAAGCCCTATGTTCCACTAGGAACTCAAGGGAATAATAATAGTGTTTTCACTATTCGATTTTCGGCCAGAAATATTGATCAATCGAAGTAAGAAAAGGTTAGGTGTCAAAAAGGAAATAAACTCACATATGTATGATATTATATATATATATACTCATATGACAGTCGCTTTTTATGAAATATCAACCCATAGGAAGATATAAAAGTTAATTGGTGGATGGTGACTAGCAGTAGAATCCAGAATGCGCATTTCGTCCTATATGGAACTCGTCATCTGGATGTGCCTGGAAACATAGGAAGATATGTCTGAAATAACGGCAAGCCAACAGCATTTCTACTGACAGATTGATCATATAACCGCAAGTTTCGATATTCTAGGCAGGAAGTCCAGTCTCAGAAGAGTACTAGAATTTATTTCGAGATGCCTTATCTGTTTATATTTTGCGAACTGTATTAGAGTAGACGTTTATTTGCACTTACAAGTAGTGAATACAACTATCTGACTTGTATTCAAATGTATATATTATATAGTCAGTATTTATTCATCTAACTGATAAGATATGACCATTTTGTTTTACAAAATGAATCACTATTCACTAGAAATAAAAAACTTCAGTGAATGAAATTGTCGCATTATCTGACGATGAAAGGAAGCTTTTACCATGATAGTATATGCATTCATTTTTACTTACATTTTATAATTCTATGATAACAATAGGAGTCATTATCTTGTTTTTGTTGAGTGAATTTGTCCGATAGGACTGAACAAAGCATTTTTGTTTTCACAACTAGGATGCTTTGTTGTTTGGCTGGAAAAAAAGTGTGTTTGTTCAACAGTATCTCATATCGTTTTGCTTTATACCTAATGACAATAAACAAAAGGTAAGGTTTGAGCGAAATTGTTGTACGACCGACAAACATGATACAGATTCATTAAGTGAATTCATGATGAAACTATTTTTCTGTTTTGACTAACAATGAAAATGGAGGGAAATCAGTCCGTTAGCGTCATGAGCAAAAACAAAATGTTAGATTATATTACATTGTTGTGCTGAAGTCTACAGTGGTGGTACAATAGATACATAATGTTCGTCATTTATTCCGTCATCCACTGATACTGATACTTTTATTTATTCAGCAATCAAACTGTCAGTATTCTATGCATTACTAAAGTTTGTTTTCAGCCGGAATATGTGGAAAAAAATGTGAGACAGCTGCATTTCGTATATATATTCTAACCAATAGCTGAGGTGAATCAACTCTGAATGTACCTTCGCTCCTTATATATATCCAGAGAGAGAGAGCGAAACTATAACAAAACAGAACAAGACACCGAGATTACCCACACACACAGTGCTACTTGAGTTATACAGTACCGTATTACTTTTAAACTTCTTTGAAATTTATAATGAATCAAATCAATGGATTAATTCATTACTTAACTAGTTGGTTAATTGAATATGAAACACAGAAAGTCGTACAAATTCACTCAAAGAAAATTGGCATAACATTTAGACTGATTCAATTGGGAATTATCCTTTATGTTATCCTATGGGTTATGTTATACGAGAAAGGTTATCAATCATTTGATCAAGCGGTGAGTGGAGTAACTGCTAAGCTGAAAGGTGTAGCATTCGCCAATGTGACAAGTAATCCTGAGATCGGTGCTAGAGTATGGGATGCAGGAGATTATGTGATACCACCACAACAGAATTCTGCTTTCTTTGTAATGACAAATGTTGTTTATACAACAGGACAAATGTTGGGTATCTGTGAGGAATCACATGATGTGCTTGGCAACAGCTGTCAGAATGATACACAGTGTCATGCTGGACAGTTAGTTTTACGTGGTAGTGGAATACAGACTGGACGTTGTGTAAATTCTACAAGACAAGCCAATTTGAGTGTGTGTGAAATTTATGGCTGGTGCCCTACAGAGTATGATATTGTTCCTAGACCACATTTATTAGGTTCAGCTGAAAATTTCACAGTAATGATTAAAAACAACATTGAATTTCCACGTTTCCGTGTGAAGCGCAGAAATATATTAAGTTGGATGAGTCGTCTATTTCTGAAAACCTGTTTATATGACCCAAATGATGAGAAACTTAAATACTGTCCTATATTTCGACTTGGTGATATATTAAAGTATTCTGGTTCAACTAATAAGGATATCTGGGAGACTGGTGGAATGGTGTCTATTCACATTGAATGGAATTGTGATTTAGATTTCGGTGAGGAGAACTGTTTACCGAAGTACATATTTCGTCAGTTTGATGATTTTAAACTGAATGTAGCTAAAGGCTGGAATTTTCGTTTCAGTAATCATTACATTGACAATGGTATGCGTAAACGTAATATGGTTAAAGCCTATGGAATACAATTTTTTATTACAGTCTACGGAAATGGCGGTAAATTTGATGTATTAACATTTTCAATGAATTTAGGCTCTGGCCTAGCCTTACTTGGCATAGCTACTATGCTATGTGATTTAATTGTGTTGAATATCACAAATAAAAGAGGTGTATATCGGAAGGCGAAAATCGATTTCATCGCTGAGAAGGTGAAATTACAACAAACCGAGAAAGGTGCTAAACATCTTCAGCTGCCTACTATTGCATCATCTGTTATTCCTGATTCTGAAAAAAAGACTGAGTTGATTGTACGACGTCATCTTGATTTTCTAAGAACACCAGAAAAAGAGCAACCACCTCCATTCCCATCTGTAAATTCATTCGGTGTTCAGCCTGATTCACTTCTTCCAGGCAAACCACCGTCAAATATAAGACCAGTAGATATCAATATCGCAACAGAATCGAAATGGAATCCTCCTGCTTTCACACAACCAAGTTTTTCTACATTTATAACACCAGGAAGCAGAAGTTTATCCTCGGGAGGAAATCATTTATCTAACGGCAAAGCAGACATAACTTCAAATCAAAGTTACACTGGAAATAAAAACTTTAACAAATTTTTAGTTGCACCTACAAATACACTTATGGTGAGTTCTAACTTAAGAAATGTGGTTACCAAATATTAAGTTAAGTTAAAGTTTATTGTATCAGTAGTCGAAGAAGAAGTATGATTGTTTTCGACTGTGTCACATTTCAGTTGACTGAAATCTTGTCACAATGTCAGTTATAAAGTCAGGCATCAGCTGTGGTTTAAATATAAAAAATGGGCTTATGTATTATTTTTATCATCGATAATACATGTAGTAACTAAAGATGATGCAATTGCGTGAAGTTTAGGAGGCATTTCATCTAAACAACACAAACAAGACTTGCGTTATTTTTCCTTTAAATTGTTGCACTACTTTCATACTACTTATTTGTTTCAGTAGCTGGTAACTGTTTAATGATTTTTATGTAGCTTATGTAGAGTCTAAGCTTTCATTTGTTGTGCACGTTTTATTGTAATAAATTTCATTCTATCAATGTGATTGTGTGTTTTGGTCTTACCACTCTGATAGTACACCTTAATGTTCATTTTCTGCGATGTAGTGGATAATCCCAGATGAAACATTTAGAAGAAAACAGAATAATGAACATAGAATATTCTTCTCGATAATTTTTTCGTGAATAAATCAACTTGCAGCTCAGGCTGTAAAGAAGAAAAGACCGAGGAGACTGAAAGAAATGTTATTTGATGAAACGTTTATGGTACATAGCTAAATTTAGTATACCATATTCTCAACCGGCCATTTGCACATCTTTACCACATCCTTGACGAATCGGTCGAATATCGTCTCATTTGATAGCTTCTTGGATTCTGCATCATATGGCAACATTCTTCTCATGGTTCTCTTCTTTGATTGCTCTTTCCACTGTGCCAAGCATATTGTTACTTCGTTTATGATATACTACTTATATGGGATTATAAGTAGCACTCACCACAAGGGAACACAACTAATTCAATATTATCCACCTGAGCTACAAATCTTCTCCATTATTTCGAAATGTCACACAATTATTGATCAAGTATTGGTTTGCAGGGATATAATTGGTTACAGGTTTGACCACAAGCTGATATCAGTTAGAGAATCACTGGAAAACCTGGGAGTAGCGGACAGCTGTTTCGTCCTGGTTTGGGACTCTTCATCAGTTTTCCAATGGTACTGTAACTGACATGAACTTGCTATGAAACCTTTATACAATTATTTCCCTTGATAATAAACTTGGTATGTTAGCTTTGAACCTCTGTCTCAGTCGTTTCTTAATTACGGATACAGAACAGTCCTTTTTGACTTCCTTGGACATGTGTTTCATGATGAACTTTTCTAGGTAGTTATTTTAAATTAAGGTGTCATGTACAAACTTAAGTTCATCTTGAGTTATGTCTTCTGGACATATCGCTTTAGCCCTGTGTCTGACAGTCCTTATCAAATTTTTTTATACGGGGGAGGAAAGAATCTATGAAAATCTGTATATTGTCCTGTCCATATACTTCCCTCACACTACATTTTTTTATGCTTCTGTGTGCTCTTCTTCTGAGAAAGACATCCAAGAGGGCGATTTCCTTTTGGGATTCTCCTTCACGTGTGAATTAGATAGCTGAATATTCCTCATTGAATCTAAGTATTATTGAGAGCCTATCTAAGTCATTTTCACAAAGGATGAATGTATAGTCCATATGTCGGCGGCAAAATGATATTTTCTGATAAGATTGTTCAAACAACCATTTTCCAGTTCACTTATAAAGAAATCTCCTAACATGGGACCTAACGGAGAGCCCAATGCCACCCCCATCCGCTTATCTTTTGAAATATCTAATGGGCATCCTCGTAAATGATTCTGTGTGTCTATATGGACTCATTTTTATGAACGAACTTATCACCACTAGGTTGGCAAACTACCTGTTATTATTAAAAAAGATACATAGACTAGTGTAGAGCCATTATTAAGGATCGAATTGGAGATTAAATATTTCTTAACTCAATATTTCGGGTTTTTAGACATTTTCTATGAGCTTAGTGAATTGTTTTACAGTGTTCATTTAGCATTGCTTTTCTCGGGGAAAAAATTCTCAAGCAAAATAATTAATCTTTTCATAAGTCACTGACCTAAAATATTTACGATGTATGTTAAATTTCACTTTCACAGAGAAGATACATCTATATTGCGAAAATACTTGCATGTGCTGGATTTTGTAGGCCTTTGATTTATTCTTATTTATATATTTTTTTATTGGAACTGCTTCAGCTATTTGTAGCTGTTTTGACGTCGATGCGATGTCCAGTATCGATCAAGTGGGACAGGATCAAGCTTTTTATGCACTTAATTTCCCCCTTCTAAATCAGCTGGTAAATGTTCTTGAACCTGCAGATGAACCTGCTTAATCGTGCGCTCTATATAACTTGAACCACAGGAACAGTTGAAATGGTATATGCATGAAGAAGAGCTAAGGTTAGGTAAGACATCTTCGAGTTGCTAAGTGGAAATTGGACAGCTACTGATGGATAAACATAGACGTGCAGAGTAGAAAGTTTTCTTTGTCGCCCTGGTTAAACGTTGCGATAATATCTCTGCAGGAGTATCTCCCTTGAATTGCAGACGTAGAAATTTATATTTGTTCATTCACTAATCAGTCTTATTCTTATCAAAACAGTATTATGTACACAATGCTATACACTATTGTTTGACTGATATAAGTAGTTAAATGTCAGTCACATTTGTCTGTACTGCTTGCTAGACGTATCGAAGTGATCTTAACATCAGACAGTCATTTCTGTCATTTTGGGCTAGACTTATCAACGGTCTATCCGGTTTGACTTAGTCCTGAGAGCCGAATCAGTTCAAACCAGCTGACTGATCGATGCTAGTTCTATTCGGCTACACATATCAATCAGTCATTGATTGTTTGCTGATCTGATTTCCATTTATGGTGCCAAGTAGATCACATATTGTGATCTGAATAATCTCAGTTTCCAATAAAAACGTTGATGGAATTTCCCCTCGAAATGTTTGACTTCCAAATCAGAAATTTAATTTACAAATTGTGAATTCGCCACCAGTATTATTTCATCAGTCACATAGTAGAATGTGCTATAACATTAATAACTCGTCGTCATAAGTAAATTCCTAGATTAGAATTCTTTATAAACAAAATATTTTTCCAGTTTACATGTTTTTTTCCTTCACGTTCCCAGTGGAACATAGGGCTTCAAGCTAGTGGCTTGAAGATTCTGTAGCAGTGTTCATTTTACAGGATGGGGTTGCTAGCCTCATGCCCAACCTTTCCTCTTCACCAGCATTATTTCTAGCTTAGCGAGGTAAAGGAGTGCGTCGGCCGGGGATCAAGCCCCGGATCATGTGCATGGTCGGTGAGCGTCCTAACTGCCATGCCACCGACGCATATGGTACGTATGCTTGCAATAAACTATTTTCAATCAGATTACATTAACTGATTGAGTTTTAATATATAATTTTGCATAGAAGTGTAGCAGTCCTACTTGCCATACTCCATATAGCATACAAAAATAGAGGAAAGAAATTAAGTAGAACTACAATGATCAAACTCGTACGGGAGAAAGAGTCATAACATAAAAACTGTGAGGAATTAGTCGATCTGGGAAGACCTACGCTGCGTGCTTATTACCACTCGTAAGCAAGGTATATCTGCAAACTTGAAGAAACTCATGTATCCTCTGGGATTGAAACCAGCGTCATTCAGTGCTGTAGTCATGGACGTTACCACTGACCTATATGGACTGTCAAATTACAGCAGACGAACAGATCTAATTAAACTTTGAATTGGCAGATGAAAGAAATATCCTTTAAACATTATTATGACTGAGTATACAAGAAAAAAGCACATTGAGTGGCCGGCCGCTTTCGAGGAAGGAGACATACGGAGCTTTTTGTGGAACTTTGATGCCATCGCTAAGTTGGTAGGTGCCAATGATTCAGCGGCGAATGCGGTCGTGCTGGGGACGCTTTTGAGAGGTCAAGCAAAGGCGGCGTACGATAGTGCGGAGCGGTCAGGTGAGGGGGAGACCTGGAAGATATTAGTTGGACGACTGATGGCAAAGTTCGACAGCTCAACTGACACGCAGTTGGCAATGTAGCAGTCCCGTGTCACGAGGCTAGGACCGGAAGGAGACCTCCTAGTGCTGACAGTGAAGTTGACATATGTACTACGTCGTGCACTCCCTACATTGGATGAAGAGTCAAAGTCACAGCTACTTGCGTCTCAGTTCATCGGCAGTGTCTCAGACCACATCTATCAGCAACTAAATCTGGTTAACACTGCACAACCCATGGACATCACTGAGTTAGCCAAGGTGAAAAAAGCTGAAAGGTTAGAAAACGTTATATAGACTTGCGTGTACTGAAGTTAAAAAAAGCATTTATTTTCCACAAACAGTTTGAATTAGCTCTGATAAGGCAGTTACTAGAGTGAAGATTTTTCAGGGCATCTGTGCGCCGGTGGCACAGCGGTTAGGACGCTCGCCGACCATGCACATGGTGTGGGGTTCGATCCCCTGCCAACTCACACCCGATATCAATGGTCGGCCTGCTAAATTTGGGCTACCGATATCACATGCTGAAAATTCCATACTTGTATCAAATCTACGGTGTGGAATCAAGCAATAATCAAAAATAATAATCAAAAAAATCTGAAAAACTGAGAAGTCATATAGGGCAGTGAATATGTTGTTTACAAGTCATCGAGAATTTTCTATGGTAAATAGCCTAATAATGATGATAGCTTTATTCTAGACAATATGTTAACACAAAGTCCTGAATTTTCACTGTATTTAAGTCGTAAAATATCTATTCACTGTACAGGCAGTACATTATGTGACACTGTGTTCTTCCATCTGATGTAATATTTAATTCCCCATGACATTTTTTTCTCTAGTTTTCCTTGAGAAGTGCTCTACAGCAAGCTAAAAATGTATCCGATTTCATGAAGCGGTTCAAAAACATTATTCAATTAATAAAACATTACGAGATGGTGAAGAATTTTGCTGATTATACTCGATGAAAATCTAAGTAACCTAGTGATATAAGAAGGCCGCCAGTGACGCATCTCCAGTAATTAACAGTTCATTCTAATAAATATGTCCATGTAACCATAATCATACACATACCTAATTCATACCTGTGAGAATCAGGAGAAATTGTTTGGTAAGGATAACACTCCATTTAATTAGTTTATTAGATATATTACACGGTGAAACAGTATTATTTACTGGATCACAA